GCAGCACTGCGCTGGGCGAGGCGGGTCACGGGCTCTCCAGAAAACATCGCTGTGCCCAAAACTGGATTCAGCTCCTTGAGACTACGCCAACAGCCGTGTGCTTTAAAATGCACGCTGACGACTAACAACCTTAATGTGCTTTAAGCGCCGCAAACACCGGGAATATCGGAAAGTAGTGTTTTGGATGCTCGGTGGTTCGTTTCAAAGAAGCGGTTATTATAACGATTCGGCGACTCTCCTCCTTTTGCGTCATGACGTAGTTACGTAGCCCCTAACAGCAGTTGAAACGGCATGTGTGTGGACACACCTGGCTGCACAGGTTTTGCCTATTAAGAGTCATATTTTTTAACAGCCGTGTGTGTTGTAATATCACATCTTGTGATTAAGTAGTTTGTTACAATCAAGTTGAGTAAAATTGTATTTATTTGTCAACTCGGTTACATGTGCGTGTTAATAAAACTACCACGCAATTAAGAATCTTGGAACCAGTTCAGCAATAATCTTTAATCGAGAACTGCTAGGAATTAACCGTCGAAAAGATAAAACAACCTAATCAAAAATCAATGTTGGCTGGCAGTGCCCAAGTTGTTCCATTTTTTTTTTAAATATTAATATCTTGTGTGTTTTGGGAATTCGTAAAGGTCAAGCTGCTATTATGAGAGAGATATTATGTTAAGAAGTCAGAACATCGTGTATTACGCCACAATAACAGCCGCATATGAGCTGAGGGATGGGCGATACCACTTATTTTGTTTTCGATACGATACCGATATTTTTCAAGGCAGTATCGGCGATATCGCCAAAATGTATCTCTCTTTATTTATTCCTTCTCTTTCTAGCTTGTACTTATTTGAACAATGTCTAAGAACTTGGTATTACAACCATGCATAAAATGCAACCTTTTTATTCTGACTGTATGATTTCTATTAACATTACTGAATAGAACATGATCAATATTATCTTTCAACTTATTCTTCCAATTCAGTGCATATTGTACGAATGTTTTTTTTTGTTAAATTAACAAAATCACTGGTAAATAAAACGCACCGTAGTATCGACATTTGTTTGAGTATCGATACTGTCGATACTCGCGTCAGTATCGATATATCGTTACTTTAGATCGATACGCCCATCCCTATGAGCTGCAACAAAGGGACTGGAGCGCGCATGTCCTCTTTCGGTGCTGATCAGGAAACGAGTCGTGTGCAGAAAACGTCCCGGCTGAGGTCTCACATCGGCGTTGTGCGATGCCACAATGCCTTCCGAAGTAATCTGTTTCTCGCGCTCGTTAAAATGGATGTTAGGTAACGTCGTGGCTTTGAGCTGCATGATCTGCTCGCCTTTTCCCATTGATCGTGTTTCCTCAGCCGCCATGTTGTCGACCCCACGCCTCCCCTGCGCTGCTCGGGGGATGATGATTAGTAAATGGCGTATTGAATGGAGTTTTTTTTTCTGTAAAGCGCACTGCTCAGTGAGTTTTTTCACCATTAATAAAGTCTATTAAGCTCAATTTTCCAAGCAGTTTTGTTGCTAACATTGTTTTAACTTGTTAGTAGCCTATGTTTGTGCATTACATGATCTACGAAATTGTCGTCTTCGTCCAAGTGCGTAGTATATTGACCAAATTGCAACATGTTACAGTTTTAAAATTAAATATCATTATTATAATGGTTAGTCAAGTGCAGGGGTTTGTAATCAGGTGGCTGAAACACCCAAATTGAAATGACCAACTTTAACCTATAAAGCCTTCTGTATCATATTTTATACATTCATTTCTAAGGCCTGTAAATTATCAACATGATCAAAAATGTGCTGAAAAACCTGTTCTACACAATCCAGATTTCTTTGGTGAGAAGCCAACCCATTATTGAGAGATTTAGAGTGATATTTACATGCATTTTATAAGTAGTCTGCTATACTCTTAGAAATGCTATTGTTTTAACATTACAAGATATCAGAATTTCATCTAATGTTTTGGCCACATAAATAACATCTATACCAAACTGCATATTTTTGCTTAGTATGGGCCTCTGAGTAAGACTGATGTGTTTTTTCTTCGAGTATGAGCACCACGTTTATTTATATACTCTATGGGCCATAAAAGCCTAACATATCAAATATGAAACAAAACATTTTATTTTTTTTAAATTTAATTTAGTAAGGAGGTTCAATGAACTATTCCATTAAAAAAAAATAGATTATTCTGACTATTATTTATTTTATATGTCAGGCTTGATAACCTGTGAACTGTTTTTTTTTTTCATTAAAGAACTGTTATATTTAATTGCCAAACATACAGTTTTGAAACATATATAATCACAGGATTAGTCGTATTTAATTATGTTATTCTTCTGACACCCCTAGTCTCTCCCAGCCCTTTGAATATTGTCTTGGCCACTAGTCCTCCGAGTCAAAGACAGAGTAGTAGAGAAAATGTTGAGATTTATTGCTGTTTGTGCAAATAAAGTACTATTACATATATAATGATTACTCGTCTCCTGTGCCCTGTTTTCATAGTCTGAATTAATACAATTCTGTAAATACAATTTCCTAAACATTTCTTCATGTAATACATACAATAAAATAAATGCCAATAAAGTACAATAAAATTGAATTGCACAGAGTGAATTTGAACATAAACATTACATACACCAATGACTTCAAATATACTTTTACAAACTAATAATTGTAGGTCCACTAAAGAAATAAATGACACAATTTAGTACTTAAATTTATATGACGTTAATTGGAAAAACTTAATTGATACATTTTAACACTCGTGTTTTATGTTTATTTTATTTTTTTGGAAACACCGGGGGCAAGTTCAAGCTCAAACCGGTGTGCACCGTTTTGCTACGGTTTCCGGTTTGAACGACATGTTTCCTGGAGACGGTGTGCAACGGACCCAAGAATAAATGTAGTATAAACGCTGTTAAATCAAAGAAAATCATGTAGTTTTTTTTATCTTTGCCACTTTTTGATTTCTTTTGATGGCTGTACTGTTATGACCAATACTTTCCACTATGAGAGGACTTCCTGTGCATCCTAAAAGTACGGCCCACTAAATCATCAATACATCACTCACCGCTGTACAATTATTGCTAAAAGGGGCAGAGGGGACTGGAGAAGGATTTTTAAATGTTCAGCACCATTTCCAAAGCTCACACATCAGCCTGAGACAATCAAAGTAGAGAGAAATAGGCAGATTGATAATGACTTGAGGGGAATCCGAAGACCAGTGTCGGGCTGTAGAGGGCTAGGAAGATGTCCTTAGCCTGCGAGCGCCTGGACACTCATGCTACAGATGTGGTAAGAGGTAGGGTGGGGGAGAGGAGAGGCCTCAGCCCGTGATACACACTTGCGGCTCGTTTTCCTACACGCTGCTCTCTGGACCTCCGACCATCCGTTTCTGTGCTTCCTCTTGAAACTTTTGGCTGTTAATGTTGAAATGTTGTCCAAAGTAAAGCAGTTTTTCCCTGCGCTGATGGATAACGTGTTGTATTTTGTGTGAAACCCTGTCACCTAAACATGCACAGTGAGTAAGAGAACTGTGTGTGTGTGTGTGTGTGTGTGTGATAATAGTCCCAGCGTATAAAGAAAAGCAGCTGTGTTGATTTATTACACGTCATCATGCTACAGGAATAAGCCTTTATGGCGGCTCATTTTCAATATCTTCCCAAGCCTCTGTTTAGTTGTCGCCTGTCCTTTCTTAGGACGCTTTCCTGCAATAAAACCACAAAAACACAATATAAGCAAAAGCTTTCAAGTCAATACCAGCCCTTCAGCAGTAATAGTTGCAAACATTACTATTACCCCAAGAACATACATTTTTGGAGTGATTTTGTGAACTTCCAAAAATGTTTTATTGGTAAACGTCATATAAGTGGGTCAATTATATATATATATATATATATATATATATATATATATATATATATATATATATATATATAAAGCGCCAAGAAGCCGTGGTTTACAGTGAATTTATAACAATTAAGGGGCGTTGTTAGGCACGACGACGCAAAGCTTAAATTCACTGTAAACCACGGCTTCACGGGGCTTATTGCTTTTATAAAACGGTTATTCCATATACTTAGTAAGGTTTCACATTAAGGGGCGTTGTTAGGCACGACGACGCAAAGCTTAAATTCACTGTGAACCACGGCTTCACGGGGCTTATTGCTTTTATAAAACGGTTATTCCATATACTTAGTAAGGTTTCACAAAATAAAACAGAGCAAATAAAGTGTAATGATATTAATAAAAACATTATTCTTCCACCAATCAATATAGTTCCTCAGAATCAGTTGTGGTTGCAACTAAGTGGTTGCCGAGCAACAGACAAATGTAAACAAAGGTGTATGTTCGTAGAGTAATTTACAACAGCTTTGAACGTGGCTCAGCCAATCAGAACCAAGGACCGGAACTATCCGTTTTATAATGTGCAACATACTTAAATGTATTTATTGTATTTCAAATGATATTTAAAAACCTTTATACCATGTTAAAGAAAAGTTTTGACAAATTGAATGACTCTAAAAATGTCATGTGGTGTAACCAAGTAATAACTAAAAGATTTTCTTTGCACTCTGAATAAATGTGCGCACAACTATTTTCAAAATGTTCCTTCACATATTCTAAGGCAAAAATAAATGTAACAAATATCATAATTTTCCACAATTTTTTTTAAATTATATATATATATATATATATATTTCATTTACATTTAGTCATTTAACAGACGCTTTTATACAAAGCGACTTACAAATGAGGACAATAAAAGCAGTCAAAACTAACAAACGAGCAACAATATATACTGTATTGGCCCGAATATAAGACGACCCCCCCTTTTTCCAGATGTACCTTTTGGAAAAAGGCTTTTTAAAAACCAAATCTAGTCTTTTCTTAGTAAAACACATTTTGTCTTCAATTACTTTCATATTGCATATTTTAATTTTTGTTTTGAAAGTAAGGTAAAATCTGGTAAAATGTACCAACAATCACATTTAAAAAATATACACTTTTTGATATACCATAAAAAACAAACAAAAAAAAATATAGGTAGCCCATCTGAATTAGGACATTTAGGCTATCCATCTAATAATTTCACCAAAATCTTATTAACAGTAGAAGTTAAATCTTACTGTAGTCTTCAAATCCGGGTACTGTCTTACGTTGTAAAATCAGAAAGGGAGTTTGGTCCCATCAGGCTAACGTGACCGTCACGACTCATGCAGCTGTAAGGTTTTCTTTCTCTTTTGTTTTTACTCGCGATCTTTACAACACGCATTACATTACGTATTTCATGGCACACTTGTTTTATGCGTATTTGGCGCCACCTATTGTTGTGGGTGTATTATTGACATGTCAAAGTCTAGACCCTGAATATAAGACGACTGCGTTTTTTCAGATGTATTTCCAAGAAAAAAAACATCGTCTTATATTCGGGTCAATACGGTAAATGCAAATGACAAGTCTCGGTTATATATACATATATATTAAAATATAGTTTTAAACCAATTTTCATACTTTCACATTTTGTTCCAAGATAAAAAATATAGTTTCAACAAAAATCTATTTTTAAAGGTCAAATTATTGACTTTGATACACTGTTATGAGGGTCAGCAGAAGTCCTCTATATGATTTTTGGCAAATACAATTTTTCCTTTAATAAGAAATAACAATACAAATATTATTATTGTTACTATTATTATTTTTTTTTAATTTCCCCGAAGTAATAAAAGTTGAGTAGCTTACCTTTAGTGGCCTGGTTGCTGATGGGTGTGGGGTTGGGGGTGTGTCTTTTGGAGGGGTGAAGGGGAGGAGAAAGTGAGCTCTCGCTATATGAATATTCCTCTCCGAGACTCCCATCCTCTCCCTCTGGGCTGCGGGGTGCCGAATAGGGTTCACTGCTGTCCCACGTGTCACTGCTGCTGTTGCTGTTACTGTTACTGTTACCCTGACTGGACCACCAGTGCTGCTGTAAAATATCGCCCCCTGCTGATGCCTGCTGACACAGCAGCCCCGCCATAGACAGCATGCCCTGAATGGCATCAGCTGTGCTCGGTGAGGTAGGACGTTCTCTGCGGACAAGAAGTTTTCAATTTTAGCACAAAAAAAAGAGAAAAGGGACTTAAAATGAGCTTTTAAACTGTGTCAAGTTTCTCAGGTGTGTAAAATGAAGGGCAGCCGTACCGTTTTAGCGCTTGCTTATGGTGGCCGTGTTGCCGGCCGCTCAGATGCTCCACAAAACTCCCCGAGTCTCGCTTGCTTCCTCCATCCTCTTCCTCAGAACTCTCTGACTCCGAGCGTTTCTGTTTAAAGAAAGGGTGATGGAGAGGATTAGGATGGACAGATGATAAGCCATTTAAACCAAGTGTTTAGCTCCTGGGGAGCTTATTGGACATCATCAGCACCTCAGCAGAATCTTCTGCTTCTGACTCGGAGTCACTGTCTGAAGACTCTACATGTGGCGACTCTGTCCTGAGTTCTGTCTGCACAGTTAGACCTGACAAAATAAGACGAGAGTCAAACAAATCTCCTTTTACATTATAATCAATCACTATCAACAGAAGAAAATTATGCTTTTTATGGCTTCAGTATTATGCAAGCATTCTGGAGAAAACTGGGTTGCGACATCCTCTAGAGCTCCGAATAACTCACCGTGATTGACTGGTTTCTTGATAGTGCAGTGTACTCTTAATTCATCCTCTCGCTTTTCTTTTTTCACTTTTTCTTGTGGGCACATCAGCAGGCTTTCAAATTTGATCCCGTGTTGATGATACTGCAACATTTCCACTCCACTCTCTTTGGCTGCCACATTACTGATAGATAACCTCTCCCTGTGAGGAAGGAGGACACACTTCTTCATGAGATGTTTAGAATACAAAAGGCCTTCAAAAAAAAGAACATTTTATTCCTTTAATGAATACATCACATTAAACAAATAAAATATAAATAAAAAATAAAATTTTATTATAATACATCAAATATAAGCATACACTACCATTCAAAAGTTTGGGATTGGTAAGATTTTAATAATAATATTATTTATTTATTTTTAAAGACGTCTCTTCTTCTCACCAAGGATCCACTTATTTAAACAAAAATACAGTAAAAACAGTAATATTATGAAATATTATTACAATTGAAAAGAACTGTTTTCTATTTTAATATATGTTAAAATGTAATTTATTCTGATGATGGCAAAGCTGAATTTTCAGCATCATTACTCCTGTCTTCAGTGTCATGTGATCCTTTAGAAATCATACTAATATGCCGATTTGCTGCTCAAGAAACATTTCTTATTATTCCAGTTGTGCTGCTTAATATTTTTATGGAAATCATGCTACATTTTTTTTTCAGGATTCTTTGATGACCAGAAATATACTATATATATATATA